CGAGCAGAGATGACCACTGCTGTAAGCAGCCATGTCTCCGTCCCCGATGCGAATGGCCCCTTGCGAGCGCAGGGTTCGGGCCTTGCCCCGTGGCTGACAGGCCAGCGGCCTCGAGCGATGTCGTCCCCGCAGTGATGGCCGAGGCAAACGCACGAGAGCTTGGGTAGCTTCGATCTATCGAATGGCCCCTCATGTTCTCGTATGTCGTCTGATTTCGAGAAATTTGGACGAGTTGAACAGCACAGAGCATAGTAACCCAGACCAGCTGGATGGCGATCCAGAAGTCCAGAACAAGGGTGAATGTATCCCGCAGCACAAACCCACAAAGTTCTTCATTGATGATGTTGCATGCAGGCGCCGCAGGTGCGGGTAAAATGTTGATGTCTATTTGACCCTGATTAAACGGATTCCAAGCCTTCGTCCCGGGGTACAAAGCTGATACTTACACTTATATGTCAGCTGCAGAAACAGAATGATCCCGATTTCCAAGCAGATAATGTACAAAACGAAATGACGCAGATTATTTGCTCCCACGCAATTGTCGATCCAGGGACAATGGCTGCATTTCAAGTTAGGACTCTCATGACTAGGGATTATCGCGCACATGGGTGGGACTTACTGGTCATGCTTTGCAACGCAGCGCGAACAGCGTTTGCAGTGCTTGCTTCTCATCGGCTTGCGAACCATACAAAATACACAGAAGTTCTCCTCGTCAAACTTCCAGTGCTCAAACAACTCGTTTATCACGGCTCTTTGCTGGTTTCGACTACCTGTCTTCGGAACAAAACCGGGGTCTTCAATCATTGAATAGATGTAGAAATATGTTGTGAGGCAATAGAACACCGCGAACAATAGATTCAGGACCGGCGACGTGGAATAGGTTGCTGAGGGTGTAAACAATTAGTACGGTGCAGTTAACAAGGTGCAGTATACCTACCTGGCAACACGCTGAAGATATATGTAGCACCAACCCAGAACAAGGTTCCCGCAAAGACACCTGACAGATATGGCTGGTTACGAGTCAGCAGCGATCAGGCCAAGGATCGACTATCAGAATCCGGGCGCAGGAAACCGGCGAAAAGAGGGCCATACCGTTTTCTGAAGCACCCTGTATTCCGGAGGGGCTTGACTCGCCGCCTTTTGTGCTACCCACTGCAACCCAAATGTCGCTACAAGCATTATAGGTATAGCAGCGTAGATGACCATGTGGCTAAGGATGTATACAGCCGCATAAACCATCAGGAATGGCCACAGAAAGAAGAACTTTGACATCACGCTCTTATTCCGCACCCAAGACGTGAGCCCCATCGACAGAACCTTGGTGTTTCCATCAACGTCGTAACCGCACTCATCAAGAGCACGATACCAGACACGCGTCGTGTTCATCTCACCGGCCACTGTGGCCGGCGACTTGCCATCTCTGGTTTTCGCAAACCTATCCGCACCGTACTCGATGAGCTTCTGCACACATGGCAATGACCCTTTCACCAATGCCCAATGTAAGGGGGTCAGCCCGCCGTCGTCGACGGCATTCACGTTGGCGCCCCAGCGCAGGAAAAGATCCACGCAGGCAGGATATCCCTTATACGCCGCCCACATCAATCCGGTATGACCCTGCTGATCGATGACATCAACTGGTATCTCCTGGTGTAAGAGGAGCACCAGCAAGAACGCATTCCCATCAATGGTGGCCAAATGTAAGATGTTGTAACCTTGAACGTCAGTCAAAAGAGGATCGGCACCGTGCTGGAGGAGGAGGTGGACTATATAATAGTGACAGCGCTGAGCGGCCCACATGGCCGGCGTTGCTACAGAATCACCACCTTTGGCGTTAACGTCGGCACCATTGTCCAGCAGAAACTTGCACATGGCGTATTGATTATTGATCGCGGCCCACTGTGATCCCAGACGAAGCCGTTAGTACAAATCCGAGTGTAGTGGCCGACCGAATTAAGCAGAAACAGTGAATTTGCACTCACATGAAGCGGAGTAATCCCTTCCTCATCTTGGTAATTGGCAGTAAACTTCTTCTCGTCAAACAACCTCTGCATGGGCCCGATTTCTCCGATACGAGCGATCTGCATGATGTCTTCGCCCAGGGGTATCGAGCCCTTGGGAGGGCTTCGATCAGGCCGCATATTCTTCAGTTCAAGACTGACATCTTGTTGAGTGACCTTCGGAGGTGTTGTTGTGCCTTTGCCAGCGGGTATAGACGCAGGGCTCGTGCTCATGCCTGCAGAGCTGCTGCTGCTTTGCGGTTCCGTAGAAGTAGTTCCGGAAGACATCCCTGTCGCAGTTATTGGGGCGCCGTTTCGTCAGAGGGAAATTTAACTCGATTCTGACGTTGAGGAACGAAAGGACGCTGGGTAGCGAGGTCTGTACAGCGTGAAGCGTTCGGAGATGACGACCGCAGACCTTCGGGCTTATAGGTACATTGCGATATTTATAAAGTATTCCCACAAAACTTGATCAATATTCTCCAAGATAGTAATCTATGGAGCTCTGGGAGGAAAGATAGGGGAGGGGGAAAAAGAACGGATGGAGGAAATGCACAAAAATACGGGGATGCGCTGATCGGAGTAAGTCCCGCGCAAAAGCGCAATGGACGCTAACGATATTGATTTACACCAACCGACTTCTTGGACAATCTTTTCTCTTATTCTAAATAGCTTCAGGCAGTTTCTCACGAGTGAGATATTTTATCTTTGATTGAGTCAAAGATTTATAGTCGTACTATACCTCTTGTTTTTTGTTCCTTTCTACAGATAACGTCAATCTGCTATGTCGTGTACCACAGCCTGACCAGCGATTATTCAACCGGAAAGGTCATTTAGGCAGCCACATTGCGGTGTAGAATTTTCAAAAAAAAAATTTTTTCTATGGAGTAATTATTATGAGGAGATTCATTTCTTCAACGGAGAAGAAAGCACAAGAGTATAGAGAAAATGATGATGAAGACGAGGAAGCTGTCGAGAGGCGAAGAACAAGCCATTGGGGTGGTTACTGGCGTCGTTCCTGAGTACGCAAGTCTATAAACAAGTTCTCGAAAGTCCCAAATTCCTAGCCGGGGAATTCCAAAACACCCCTAGCTCATTCATAGCACAAAGGTCTCTTGACGACGAAGGGACAATGCCGAATACAGCTAAGCCATCTCTGTGAGAACCAGATCCATGCTGCTTCGAAGAGATTGTGCTTGATCAGCCAACATCTGAGCATCAACCCGTAGCTCGAAGTCCGTCAGAAAACAAAAGCTGATTTCCAGCCTGGAGAGCTCCCGCTCGCTCACGCCCCCAACCTTGGCAACGCGGCTGTGGGGATAGCTGAGGTCTTCGAGCGCCTTCATGGCCACTCGAAGGCCAGCCAGCACCAGACGGTGCATATTTTTGCCATTCACAGATATCACTCTGTCGACCGTGGCCAATCTCGTGATGTAGATACTTGTAGCGAGGTACACAGCTGTAGACATCGGGCAATACCGATGGAGTCGCAGTAAGTAGTCGCGCAGGCTGATAGGTGGTTCTCTTTTCGAGAGAAACCTCTTGGACAACATGCTCTGCTGAATGCGATCCCGAGCATTCTCTTCATGACTGATTGGAAAGCAGTGTAGTTCGATGATCCTGGTAGGCGTGGCTTCTCCGCTGGATAAGCTGTCGCTGCGTGTCATGGCGGCCGGCGCGGAACCCGCCGCCAGAACAGGCTCGACGACTCTGCCAACACTGGGCCTGGCGAGAAATTCGACATTGACACACAATAGCTCGAGAGCCGTAGCCGGCAAGATGTCGAAGGCTTCGCCAGTACCACCGAGACCCATCTCACCTTCTTCTGCCTTTGACAAATTCGAGTCCCTTTGCGCATTTGAGTCAGGAGACACGTGGGCTCCCTCACCATGGGCGCGACATCCGTTCATTATGGTAGCCGCGGTCAGTTGACAGAGTGAGGGTGGCGGTTCTGAAGACAACCCCGAAAGCTGCAGGTGATTATAAGCGCCTCTGGTAGGAGTACCATTGTGGGACCGAGCCCGGCGTGCAATAGTCGGATTAAGTCGAGCCTATTAGCGTCTGACCGTAGGACGAGCAGTGAACAGCGGTGAAAGGCCAACTTGCTGGAGAGCAAACGCTTATGACTATCACGGCACGAGGAGGAAGTAACACTTGCCCGCAACACCTCTATGTTGAGCGAGACATCGACGAGGTCGTTGGATAAATGGCAAAAGGCACGATCGTAGAAGCCTTACAAATCCTGACAGTCAATATCCGATTTTATAATTGGGTAGTGTGCCAGAGCTACTCACCCAGGGTAAAAAAATAATATATCTTGGACTGAAAAGATGATACAGGGGAGGGAGGATGCCGAGGCAGGGTGGAGATTAAGGATAAATGAAGAAAGACTCGCTACCCATTAGTATCACATCATAAAATCATCATTTCTGTGACATGGTATGTATGATAAAGGTTGACTAGAGAAAAGGAGATAATAGTCAGAAGGGTCAGCAGCCCATACTCAGGATGGAATGAGACTATCGGACATTATTTCGCCCGGCTTTTCCCCGTGCCAGCTCATCCACAGTCCACCATCCCAACAAGTTATTTAAGCATATGGCATCCCAGAAGCGTTTTGAGTGGCTTTGAATGGTGCTTTTATAATGACCATCTACAACATACGCATGTATGATGAAAGACCGGGTGGGACTTGCAAGTTGGGGTAATGATCCTTTATTACCTATCTACGGTACCTTCTTTATCAGCTTTACCGATTACACTGTGATCGCTCGGCAAGTGGTTTGCTTTGAGAGATTTCGCACAGAGATTGCAAATTTCTATTCATGTCGACGTTGGCTTCATCTATCAAATGCATATGAACATGTTTAAGAAAAGCTTCTATGGTGCACGAGACGCCTTCTAAGTAACGCTCAACCTTTCTTCTCATCAATCGGCAACTTAAAACTAAACTGGCAATGGTTTGCCTGCGGCTGTTACAGACAGATGCTCAATGTTCTTCTCTCAGAACCAGCGCTCGTTATGACGCCGCTCATCTTTGCTTTTCTCGGCCGAATGGAAGAATCGCAAACGACCAAGTCTACCGTTAGATGCTCTTCGATGAGTGCGCAACTCGACATCACTCATTGGATTCCCGCGTTCGTGGCGTTCCCGGCCCTCTGCTAAAATGCGCTCGCCTGCTTCTGAGATGATACGGTTACCGTCTTGGATGATTCGCGGACGGTGGCGGTTGGTCTCCAGATGCCGCTGCCTCATCCTTCCAGGATAAGGAGAATGAGCTCGTGGATGTGGACTGCTGTCTCGCGAATGGCTCGCCCTATTGCTCGTGTTCTCGGCGTCTCTTGCAAAACCGTTGCTGTCTGGATAGGCTCGATGAGTTGGCGCTCTTGCGTCTATAGATTCTCCTTGATGGGATCCAGCGGAACGGTTGCGAGCCCTGGTGCTGTTTACATGCTTTTCATATTCCACATCGCTGGAGAAATGAACTTGTCGACGTTCTGAATTCCTGCGCTCTCTGTCTTGGGATGCAGCCGCGTCATGGTGAATGTCCACTACACAGTTAAGACTTCGGCGTGGCCTCCGCTGCTCCGGCTCACGTTCAGTAACAGGCGTTCGTGGTCGAGGAGGTCGTTGCTCACGTGACGGTTGTCGTGACCGAGCCTGGCGAGGTACATCAGTAGCGTCATTTGCTCTCTCCCTGTTGATCGAGGTCGGAGAACTTCCTATCCGTGGTGAAATGCATCGGATTCGGGCCGAAGCTGGCCGCTCGTTGCGTGGTCTCCTCTCCTCGACCTCTAGGAGGTCGATAACAATGGGACGAGGTGATCTCTGACGGCCGCGGCGCTCGTGCGATGTCTCTCTGTCACTTGGCTCGGAAGACCTTCTGAAAATCGGGATTCCGAACGAAAATGCCCGGGTTCGAGCCTCTGACGATCTCCCCTTCGGCGAAGGATGTCTATGTTCCTCCTGCCACCTTGTCTCACTGAGGTTTCTGGGCTCAATGGTTCTGATCCTTGGAGAAGCCATTCTTCTGGGACTTCTCGGCTGGGTCTGTCTAACGTGGTAGAATTCGCCGCGATCGTACAGTCGAGCGCGGTCGCAAGTCCCCCTGCCGTCGCTGAACAAGCATCTGTGGATCACTTTCCTCGTTCGAATTTCCATTGGATACACGTCAGTGTATTTCTCTATCAAGCACATTCCTTCTACCCTGCGCCGTATTGCGTTGGAGGGCTCCCAAAGTCCTTGTGATGAGAAATGGGTATTTGATTGCTTCTCACGCCAGCTGTCAATCCAGAATGATGTTGAGCCTTGATATATAGGATCAGATATGCGCACCGAATGCTATGACCGTATCGAGCGAGTATCTTGCTCGAATGAAGGGCTAACAATGAATAGAAGTTGCGCATTCTTGTAACAGACAAAGACAATGAGCGCTTTGCTACTTTGCGGTTGCAAGACAAGTGAAGATGCGAAACGGCATTGTTATCGATGAAAGACATGTGGTCGAAGTCATGAGTTCAAAGCACCTGATAATCAAAGGAAGAGGGAAAATGTAAGGAGGACTAACAAAGGATCCTCGGGTTTGTTCAACATCAAGACACATACGAGTGGTTCCCCTTATTGTCCTACGGAGAAAGGAAGATCTTTGGGCATCTTGACGCCTGAGAACCGAGATACTTATAAGTATTTCGACCACAAATGAGAAAACTTGTAAGAGCAGGCTAGACCATGCGGCGGAAGAACCCTTGGAATCCTCCAGGCACATATGCGGGCTAGTCTACGGCTGCAGCCTAAGGCCAGTCTATTCGATGACTGTGTTCTAAGTAACTCGCAATTTCTGGCCATCGGCCGTAGCCTCATCAAGCAGTTCTGAGTGTCGCTGGTAAACGCTCGTAAAGAGAGACAATGAGGTGTGGCTGGTTTAGGTCACAGGGGCGCAGTTCGAGTCAGCCGAACAGGTTGAAACCATCAAGACTAAGCGAAGAAAGCAATGGAAATGAATAGTGACTAGAGGCAGATGACGAAAAAAGCTGCAACAAATTCGTACAGATTTCCGAATCGAACAAAGATATCGAGGTTTGGCCTTGTTTTCTCCCCTAAAGAGCCTCCTGATGCAGGTCCAGCAGCTACACAGCTTACAAGGGTTCCTGCAGACGAGTGGCTGTTCTCTTGTGGATAGTGATGTAATTCCATGCAACTACTGCTAGTTCCATTGTGTTTTCGCAACAACGGCCTTACAGACCAAAGCAACCATTGAACTTCGTAGTAGATGATAGCAAAGATGTTGGTGATATCATGCTGTTGAGCTGAAGGGATTGTGGCGCAGATGGTAGGCAGGGCACCAGCCACATCCATCTTGTCAAATCAGAATCATAAGAGAAGTTTTGGATGTTGCAAGTGCCAGTCCAAGCATCAGCCCAACAGAGCCTGGGTCTCAACACCATAATACTACTCCATACACTTATGCGCATCAGATCACCGCGCCACCAACATGATCGCAGGCTTCTCAGCGTCCTTAAAGGATTGATGCCTGATCCCTACGTTCATGTGGACAAGCAACCACAGAGCTGAAGAGGCATACCTTATGGAATTCGCCGCTACGTTCTGCTAGGTTCATTCCTTCCGAGGACGGCAGGAGACGGGAGTTTAAAAGTCTAACCACGATGATAAGCGCAAGGCTCCCTCGCTATGCCCACTTTTCCATGAATTTCTCCTGGCTCCTGTCACGCTGGTAGAGTACGTCCAAGTTGAGCCGTTCGATCCCCTTCTGAAGTTGACCCAATTGTAACTCGAGATCACCAAGTTTCTTGTCTTGTTCCACATCCAAAAGCGAGGTCTTAAACTGAGAATGTTCGCCCAGCGCCGATGCAAGAAGTTGAGATGCTTGGTCACTTGGAATCAATCCAGCCACCAAGGGTAACTTAGCACCGACGCTAATATTGCGTAGGCACTCAACAATGTGCTGTTTCTTGTCAAAGAGAGCATTTTCGCCGCAATCGTCTTTCCCTTCTTGCTCCTCTAATTGGAACACGGATTCCACCGACAGACCAATGCGGCGCAGAACACCCGCGATGGCCTGGAAATCCGAAGAATCCATGCGCTTCTCTGGAGCGGTGGGGATGGATAGCAATGGAGTAGAACGCCTCCTCATACTCAATGTCTCTCGCCTTGAAGAAGGCTTTTCGACAAACTGATTACCTATTTCCGTCCTATAGGAAGCTATAAGAGCCTCGAGAGTCGCGCAATATGATTCGCGACTCTGCAGGAGCTCCCCAAGGCTCCGGATGGACGACGTCATGCCAATGACGGTATCCAGGATCTGTGAGATCATCAGCCATTGAATCGCGCACAGATTCCGACGAACAGGCCACCAACATTTCCAAGCCTTTTGTGGGAGGCCATTCGCAGCTGACCATGGACATTCTGAAGTGCACGTAGTATGGGCTCGTTGAATAGCTGCCTTGTGGACATCTCGGCTAATATGTCAATCTCTGGGTACAAGGACTCTAGTTCATCACCCAGGGTCACTAAAGCCTCCTCTTCCGCTTCTGATGCTCTGTCAGCCGTATCTGCCCCGCCCGCTTTGATAGTTCCAAGATACAGTCTGTCGAGGCGGCAGTGTATCTCTTCCGCCACGTATTCCGCAAGTAGTGAACCCAGCTCTAATGCTCCCTTGGTTATAGAGGCATCATCACTAGTAAATTGTACTCCGGAAGCGCATTGCTCCAGATCTGCAAGTATCCTGTCATCATCCTTTACCCTGGCTGCCAGCACAGACAGGATCTTTCTGCCGTCGTTCGTTACTMTATCCAATTCGGCTTTCAAGCTCGCTTCTAGCTCACGCGAAAGGTCACTAGACTTGGGAAACATCAGTCCTCAATCGTTCTGCGATGTTCCAAATATAGGTTTATTACCGAAGCTGCAATATGTTGCCTTCCGCTTTCATGCTTTTGATGTAGCCGTTCTATGTCCCTTTGCTGTCGAATCCTTCGTTGTTCTTGCAGACCCGACTGTCTATTCAGAATTTCGAATTGTGAGTTCAGTATCTCCGTCTGTGCTTGGATCGCGGAGGTGGATGTTTTCAAGGATTCGATCACACTGCGAAGGTCATCGTCCAAGACTGGTCGTGTCGCGGCAAGATCTGGATCGGAAATGATGTTTTGCAAGGCGTCCGAGTTCTCCAATGTTGTGAATCTTTGCAGATACGATTAGCGACAATAGCCTATCCGCCTCAAAATAGAGAGCATTAGGATTGAACGGGGTGGGGAAGGGAAAACATACAGTGTAAGCTCCTCCTGCGAAAGCAGCGTGTCGGGTCCGAGGTGCTCCTCCACCCATTGAATGTTCTCAACATTCTTGTGGTTGTCGATCAAAGCAGACTCGACCTCATTCCGATTGATTGGAAGTTTGCGATCTTTGAGAGCGCAAATCACTCTGTCCGCCGGATTGACTGCGGTCTCCTTTTCCATTGTTTTGATATACTTAGGTGCGGAAGAGGAGCCGTCGTGGAATCGCGCCTAAGCTTCTCTCCTAAGGACCTCAGTACCATGGTTGTACTCCCACCCTACGAAACGATTTCTAGGACAATTGTCATAGACTGCATTTCCTTTTCCTTAACGATAACATGGTTTATTCTTTCGACTTCCTTGCGGATTTCTCATAATCAAGTACGATACCAAAGCTATTAATGCAATTAAACTGTCTTTCCAACACTCAGCTAGATAATCTAAAGCTTCAAAAAGCATCCTATTACAACCCCGCAACTCCAAGCATGCTCATGCGCTAAATATATTATTCAAAACGATACACGATTGAAAAGAACAATCAACATATGTCAAAAGATGTCCGCGACTGAATAAATTATTCGGCATGATGGCCCGACTCGGCTTCCACTTTGGGATAGTACCAAGTTGTAACAGCAATAATGACATACACAAGCACGCAGAGACCTCCCTCAAGGTAGTTGGACTTTCCATCGCGCAAGAAATTTCCAACCACCAAGATTGACAGGACGACGAGGACGATCATGAAGATTTCGAAGTTGAGGCCCATGTCTTTGTCAAGGCACCAGCCCACAATGACTGCCAGCGGCGCGTTCAACAAAGCTGTCTGGATTGAAGGGCCGAGACAGTGGAAGAGTGCGAAATTGATCTGATTGTCCCTGGCAGATGTTAATTTATCGGAGACGCAGCTGAATACATCTTCAAGTCGAACTCACCAGGCTTCGTCAATAGCGGTCAGATGCTCTGCTGCCTTCTCGACCAGAGGAACCAAGATTAGACCCATAAAATTATCCGAAACGCCTCTTTCAACAATGTGCTCGATTTCTTCGACCAAGAAGACTGCCGACATGCATACGAACGTGAGTGAAAGTGCTATAGCCACTAGACACTCGGTCAGAGTGAGCTTCGTGCGCTGCAGTTCTTCCTCTCGATCCTCGTCGCAATGCTCGTCATTCTCAAGGACTTCATCGAAAATACTGTGATGACTATGCAGATTATAGAACAGAAACCTATGCAACTGTGTAAGTGGAGTCGATCCTTAAAGGCAGCCCAGGAACGGAGTGGCTTACATAATAAAGGCGACGAGAAGAATCAGAGAGGTAGATCGACTGATTACTAAAGTGGAATGATCCAAAGCTTGTTGAGTGATGATCGCTTTGGTTGAACTCGAGCTTAGGGCCGCGTAGAAGGCGCTTGGAATCAACAGACCGAAACCTGCAACGAGCAGAAGCCCAGACCCGACCTCGCTTACAGCTTCATGAAACGACTGTTCATGGCGTTTAATACCTCCAAAGAAGAAGCACAGCCCCAAGCAAAGCAACAAATTCGCAAGAATCGAGCCCAGGATAGCGGCCTGGATGACTGGGATTAAGTTTCCCCCCTGGTCATTGTGGATCAAAACCATGAAGAGCACGATCTCGACGACCGAACTCAATGTAGTTTCCAACAGCACTCCAAGAACTTTGGGCAGCTTTTTTGCCAACTCTCCGCCTGCAAAGCCGAGCAAGTTTGCTGAAGGGACCA